TATAGGTTTTAAAGAACTGACAAGATGTATACAGTGAGTTTTGAAGGCCAATGTGTGTACTATAGGTTTTAAAGAACTGACAAGATGTATACAGTGAGTTTTGAAGGACAATGGGTGTACGATAGGTTTTAAAGAACTGACAAGATGTTTACAGTGAGGTTTGAAGGACAATGGATGTACTATAGGTTTTAAAGAACTGACAAGATGTTTACAGTGAGGTTTGAAGGACAATGGATGTACTATAGGTTTTAAAGAACTGACAAGATGTATAGTGTAAGTTTTGAAGGACAATGGGTGTACCATAGGTTTTAAAGAACTGACAAGATGTATACAGTGAGTTTTGATGAGATGTCGTTTAATTTTATGGATACCCACTTCAAGTTATCTTTTATGTTATTAATTAACTAATTACGAAAATTATTACGTTATGCTACGTGCTCGTGTGAAGTACGTACATGTTACATGTCGCTCTATTATCTTATTACAAGATTGTATAATGTTTATAACAGGATTCGTCACTTTCAAACCTTATCTGAACGTCCATTATAAGGACTGAAGACATCTCCAAGCTCTCCTAGTGCACTGATGATTGTGAAAGTATTTATCCTAACACTGCCCTATTAAGGAACGTATCTCTAAGCCATCCTATCTATGAACATACCATTATGTTCTCGTATCTACAATTATAATACCAGACTAAGTACCAGGAAGAGTCAGTATTGGGGAACATTTATAAGATGTAGAATACTAGACTGACGGTAACTAGTAGTTTCCTATCTATGAACATACCATTATGTTCTCGTCTCTACGATTATAATACCAGACTAAGTACCAGGAAGAGTCAGTATTGGGGAACATTTATAAGATGTAGAATACTAGACTGACGGTAACTAGTAGTTTCCTATCTATGAACATACCATTATGTTCTCGTCTCTACAATTATAATACGAGACTAAGTACCAGGAAGAGTCAGTATTGGGGAACATTTATAAGATGTAGAATACTAGACTGACGGTAACTAGTAGTTTCCTATCTATGAACATACCATTATGTTCTCGTCTCTACAATTATAATACGAGACTAAGTACCAGGAAGAGTCAGTATTGGGGAACATTTATAAGATGTAGAATACTAGACTGACGGTAACTAGTAGTTTCCTATCTATGAACATACCATTATGTTCTCGTCTCTACGATTATAATACCAGACTAAGTACCAGGAAGAGTCAGTATTGTGGGACATTTATATAATGTAGAATACTAGACTGAAGGTAACTAGTAGTTTACATTTTTAAAACAGAGTTGTTAATATTCTTTCATCCCTCTTGTTTTAACTTAGGTGGATTTGAAACACAAACACCAATCTGAAGACACCGACCATTCAGACATTCCTGTAGGAATTGATCTGAGTGATTTCTACTTGAGTGTCGAGTGGGACGTCATGGGGGTGCCAGCGAGACGCAAAGAAAAGTTTTACAGCTGTTGTGACGAACCGTATCCTGATATAACTTTTAACGTCACTTTACGACGTAAAACCCTCTTCTACACAGTTAACCTGATTATCCCCTGTGTGGCGATCTCCTTCCTGTCGGTTGTAGTGTTTTATTTACCCTCGGAAAGCGGAGAAAAGGTATCATTAAGTATCTCGATTGTGCTATCGTTAGGCGTGTTTTTCCTGTTGCTTTCCGAAATCATACCTCCGACATCCCTGACGGTCCCTCTCCTTGGCAAGTATCTTCTTTTCACTATGATTTTAGTGTCATTTTCCGTGTTTGTCACGATAGCTGTTCTGAACGTCAATTTTCGGTCTCCGTCCACCCATCACATGGCTCCCTGGGTCCGCACTGTCTTTTTAGAAATCCTACCCAAGGTCTTGAGGATGAAGAGACCTCAGGAGAACGAAGAAGAAACACAACTCAATTCAAGTTTTGGAACGGCTGATGCTCGGCATCCTGACCCTGCGAGAAAACCCGGGTTTCCAGAGTACGAGTGCTCGTTCCACGAGACAGGTTACATGGTCGCTGGTATTGATGATGATATTCAGGGAGGCGTGGTGTCTGGAGTCACCAAGATGTGTCCTGAACTAGAGAAAGCTGTTTTAAACATACGTTTTGTTGCCCAACATATGGAAAACCAAGATGGGTATTCAGAGGTAAGCCCCCTCAAAATGGTTTAAACAACCTTTAACATAACCCCTTGATCATAACGTTAGTGTGAATATCATATTGTAACAATGAAATTAACGTTAATATAACCCCCTTAGCCATAACATGAGTGTGATTATCATGTTTTAACCCTTATAATACCGTTCATATAACCCACTTAGCCTTAACATTAGTGTAATTATCATGTTTTAACCCTCATATTACCGTTCATATAACCCACTTAGCCATAACATTAATGTGATTATCATGTTTTAACCCTCATATTACTCGTTCATGTAACCCACTTAACAATAACATTAGTGTGAGTATAATGTTTTAACCCTCATGTTTTTTTTTTCGTGTTACAACAATCGTTGTAAAGAAACGACCAAGAAAAGTATTTTCTATTTTATACAAGCAACCAGAAGTAATCCCAAGAGAACAACAACTTATCATTGTTTATATTAAACTTTCATCACGAATAACTCCAGAAGAATTATCTTTATTAGCATCAAAGGTTTCCCATTTCACCTTGGTCTTTGTTATTTTTTATTCCTGCTCATGATAAAGGTACAGATATTATTTCTGGATTTATTAACGGTCAAAGTTTGATTTAAAAAAAGTGTGTTTGATCCTCTCCATATAGTATCACTGTTGACTGTAACACTACTAAAATATTGTTGCTTAGAAACATCATCACAGTACTGGTGCTATTGTTGTTTAGAGACACTACCATAGCACTGTCGCTAAGATACACTAAAATAGCATTATTGCTTAGAAACGCCACAATATCATTGTTGCTTAGAAATACATCACAACACTGTTGCATAGAAGCACCACCATATAAAAAAAAGCGCACAACCCGACAACTGTTGCATAGCAATGATGTATGAACCTTGCATGTATCTACGAGACTCAAATGTCGAATATAAATAGTCTTCATACTGCAGTTATAACAAACTCATGTAAATAATAGCTTTGGGGGGAACAAATCATTGGTAATAAAACGTACCAGTATTGGTTTTTCAACTAGTCTCAGTTCAGATTCTAGACAAAAAGTCATCCTTATAACTGTCATATCTATTTGAATTTCTATCTGTTTGCAAGAGATTTGATATTAATATTGTCAGTTTATGTAGTGAAGTAATTTTCTATTTTCTATTAGATCGAGGGGGACTGGCAGTTTGTCGCTATGATCCTGGATCGATTATTTCTCTGGATATTTACACTGGCATGTGCAATTGGATCAGCCTGTATCATTTTGGAGGCGCCATCTCTGTACGACGATCAACAACCAATCGACGTGCTCCTATCAAAAATGGCACCATCTCGCCTGCACCATCTCAAAAATTAAAACTCGTTCCACTGACGTCTCAGGAACTGTCAGTGTAATCTCGATCGTATTTTTTCTGATGTTCATTCATCTTAAGCGAACACCTATTTTGACAATTTGCAAACAGAATTCGAATTGTACGTAATATCAAGTTTGGACAACATTCCACGCGTATTTTACAGACATTGATGTTGAGTTTATTTGAAATTGTCTCTAGTCACTAATGGATAAAATAGATAATTCTATTCAATGAAATTACATCTAGTATGATAAAGATATCGTTGGTTGAGTACATCTAGTATGATAAAGATATCGTTGGCTGATTACATCTAGTATGATAAAGATATCGTTGGTTGATTACATCTAGTATGATAAAGATATCGTTGGTTGAGTACATCTAGTATGATAAAGATATCGTTGGTTGATTACATCGTGTATGATAAAGATATCGTTGGTTGAGTACATCTAGTATGATAAAGATATCGTTGGTTGAGTACATCTAGTATGATAAAGATATCGTTGGTTGATTACATCGTGTATGATAAAGATATCGTTGGTTGATTACATCTAGTATGATAAAGATATCGTTAGTTATTACATCTAGTATGATAAAGATATCGTTGGTTGATTACATCTAGTATGATGTAATCAACCAACGATATCTTTATCATACTAGATGTAATCAACCAACGATATTTTTATCATACTAGATGTAATTAACCAACGATATCTTTATCATACTAGATGTAATCAACCAACGATATCTTTATTATACTAAATGTAATCAACCAACGATATCTTTATTATACTAGATGTAATCAACCAACGATATCTTTATCTAGTATGATAAAGATATCGTTGGTTGATTTGCAAATCATCTTTTATGCGATTTATAAAGTTTGAATATTCTGTAAGTTGTTATTGACTCTATAATAAAATAAAATAAAAGTTTATGTATTAGCTTGTCTTGTATATTCATCAGGTTTTACTCCAGTGTTCATCCAATTCTAACACATTACATTCTCTAAGCTACACTTTATATATTAAGGTGTCGGTGTAAACAACGAAAGCCAATACTGGTTCATAACACGCACTTCATCCGCTGTACTGTAAATAAATATAGATTTGTCATATAATCCATAAAAACTGTGGGTTGCAAAGGACATTGTGATAACGGGACAATACCATAGAGGGATATTGTCATAATGGAACATTGTCATAACGGGAAATTGCCATAAAGGGACACTACCATAACGTGACATTGCATATAGGGACATTGCCATAAAGGGACACTACCATAACGTGACATTGCATATAAGGACATTACCATAACGGGACATTGCCACAAAGGGACATTACCATAACGTGACATTGTATATAGGGACACTACCAGAACGTGACATTGCATATAGGGAAATTACCATAACGTGACATTGTATATAGGGACATTACCATAACGTGACATTGAATATAGGGAAATTACCATAACGTGACATTGTATATAGGGACACTACCAGAACGTGACATTGAATATAGGGAAATTACCATAACGTGACATTGTATATAGGGACATTACCATAACGTGACATTGTATATAGGGAAATTACCATAACGTGACATTGTATATAGGGAAATTACCATAACGTGACATTGTATATAGGGACATTACCATAACGTGACATTGTATATAGGGACATTACCATAACGCGGTACTGATTTTGCTACTCAATTCGCAAAATTATCAATGTCTAGTACAGCTTTAGGACTTTAGCTAAAATATATATTTAGTGGTTGATGTTACAAGGAACACAATTAAATGTTAATGAAAATAATTCTAATTAGATTCAAAGTAATTTACAATATTGTCTGATGAGATAGGATACAATGTTGATAGATTTTGATCAACAATATGAATTATTTCGTTTGTAACCGTTCTTCTATATTGTCTGATGAGATAGATACAATGTTGATAGATTTTGATCAACAATGTGAATTATTTCGTTTGTAACCGTTCTTCTATATTGTCTGATAAGATAGATACAATGTTGATAGATTTTGATCAACAATATGAATTATTTCGTTTGTAACCGTTGTTGTATATTGTCTGATGAGATAGATACAATGTTGATAGATTTTGATCAACAATATGAATTATTTCGTTTGTAACCGTTGTTCTATATTGTCTGATGAGATAGATACAATGTTGATAGATTTTGATCAACAATATGAATTATTTCGTTTGTAACCGTTCTTCTATATTGTCTGATGAAATAGGATACAATGTTCAGTTTTTTGACCTCGATGGAACGATAACGTTTCTAGAACACTGGAGGTCAACGGTTTTTAAGTGGAATTTAATAGCAGTAATATGACTACTAGTCATGTGACTGGTAAAGTGTAGCAGTAATATGACTACTAGTCATGTGACTGGTAAAGTGTAGCAGTAATATGACTACTAGTCATGTGACTGGTAAAGTGTAGCAGTAATATGACTACTAGTCATGTGACTGGTAAAGTGTAGCAGTAATATGACTACTAGTCACGTGACTGGTAAAGTTTAGCAGTAATATGACTACTAGTCATGTGACTGGTAAAGTTGTTAGACAATTTGGATTAAATCCGCTTTAAGTCTTTAAAAATAGGCAGACACTATTTGCTACTTAAAGGCAATCATGTGACGTCGTTTTGACAGATACATGACGTCATTTTGTAAACATCACATGATATCTGTTGACAATAGTTATATTAGTCGAGAAGCGCTTGAGTCAACATTCACTAGCGATGAGAGCGTTAGTGTACACAAGTTTAAAACAATTTGTCGTAAAATGAAAACACAAAGATGTAAAACTCACAAACGAGTAAATATCAGGAGCAAACAGTGTTGAAAATTATCAACAGTTTTTATTGGCTACTCTTAACAATATAGAGGAATTGACTGTTACCTTTATAAATCGCCACACCCAAGAGTAAGGTTGTCTTTAACGGCACATCAGGAGATAACCACTAGGAGACAACTATCCCTCTATAAGAACGTGTTAACAAATCACTGACACAAGAGTCAGATAATTTTTCTTTTTAATAATCTTAAGTTGTTGTTTAATTTTACATTTAATGTTACATTTAAATAGACATCAATAAATGGTGACACGATTTTCACATCGTACACGTTAACGGTTTATTTAAAGGTAAATTGAAATTAATGAATATTATAAAAAAATTAAATCATATAGAACACATAAGAAAATTCAATGACATAACAAAGTTGTCAAAATATTGCCCACTTAGGAAACCATTTTAAAAATATTGCCCACTAGGAAAACCTTTTTTCAAAATATTGTTTAAAAATAACATTCAAACCACAGATAAAAATTTTTCAAAAGTTGCCCTATTGGAAACTTCAATTTAAGGAAAGCCATTTTCAAAATATTGTTTACAAATAACACTCAAACGACAGAAAAAGTTTTTTAAAATATTGCCTAGAAACAAAACTCAAACTAGAAAAAAAAAGTTTAAAACATTGTCCATTTGAAAATGTAAAATTAAATAAAAAATGCAATAAAACGTTAAATAAGAAAAATTTTAGAAAAACGTCGTAAAAATATTGTCTTCCTAAAATCGTCAAATTAAGGGAAAAGTGTAAGACAAATATTTGATGTAATAAGACTAAATATAACAAAAAACCCACCTGAACTTTGAATGAAACGAGTGAATAAGGTTGAGACTTTTCTCTATGCGTACTTGAAAGGTCAAGTTTTGTTGACTTCTAATCTTTTTTCTTGTTTGTTTTAATGCACGTGAGATATTTGGTCATTTTAGTGTTTAATTTGTAGTTACGGAGTTTAAAATTCATCTTTAATTAATAAGCTACGTTATCAAGTTTGTTTGTTGAATTTTGTCGCCACTAATTTAAAAGTGATAGACTAGAGGGAAGGCAGCTAGTCAACATCACCTATCGCCAACTTTTGGGCTACTCTTTGCAAACGAATAGTGGGATTGACCGTCACATTATAACACCCTGTAAGGGCAAGCATGTTAGGTGACCGGATTCGAACCTGTGACCCGCAGCTTGCGAGTCGAGTGTCCTAAACGTTATGAAGTAAACACATAAACACAGGGTAAAATTACCCTCTGTTCTTAAAGGGCGACATTATGATTTTATGTTGTTGTTTTTTGTAACTGACAATAGAGTATTAATATAGGATACAAGTTATTATTATCAGTATCCAAAATATAAAATAGGAATGCCTTACTTCGATGAGCCAGGCGTGGCCTAGTGGTCAACGTGTCGGACTGCGACTCCTGCACGTATTTTGGGCGGGTTAAAGAAACAACGATAAAATGCCAGTATTTTATTAGAGTAGTCCAAGAGGTGACGGTGGGTGCCGTTAACGAGCTACCTTCTCTCTCTAGTCAACCAGTTCAAAGTTTATGGAGCTGCGTGCGAACACATTCTGGAACAAACAAACTTAATTTGAACAATGAGGCTTACTGACGTGAAAACGTACTTATAAACTATAAACAAACTACGTAACCGACAATCTCATATCTACGGCATCCATTTTGTTTTCATCACAACTACTCCATATCGCCGAATTCGATGAAAGCCCATAAACAATTAACTAATTAGTTTTAAATTCTGACGGTCTCACTAGGGTGTGAGTGTTTCGCAAGATGGAAGCTGGTGCTATCGCCAAACGAGGACTTTACACCAAACGTAGAAAAACATTGTTATTCAATTTCAATATATGTATAAAGTCGTTTAGGAAAGTAGTAATTTCCTCACATCTCAAGGGTTGAATTATTAATTCTATTAATAGTCGAGTGTTTTAGTTCTAACGAAACGTAATACATTAGTGATCTAACCCAGTTATTTTGGATCTTAAGGTCCGTGTTTATTAGTCGAGTGTTTTAGTTCTAACGAAACGTAATACATTAGTGATCTAACCCAGTTATTTTGGATCTTAAGGTCCGTGTTTATTAGTCGAGTGTTTTAGTTCTAACGAAACGTAATACATTAGTGATCTAACACAGTTATTTTGGATCTTAAGGTCCGTGTTTATTTTATTAATAGTCGAGTGTTTTAGTTCCAACGAAACGTAAATACATTAGTGATCTAATCCAGTTATTTTGGATTTTAGGTTCGTGTTTATTAGTCGAGTGTTTTAGCTCTAACGAAACGTAAATACATTAGTGATCTAACACAGTTATTTTGAATCTTAAGGTCCGTGTTTATTTTATTAATAGTCGAGTGTGTTAGTTCCAACGAAACGTAAGTACTTTAGTGATCTAACCCAGTTATTTTGGATCTTAAGGTCCGTGTTTATTTTATTAATAGTCGAGTGTGTTAGTTC